TGTTGTTGGAGGGCGACTACCTCCAACTGCCCAGTAGCATCCTTCACGAGCCTCCTCCACAGAGGCCGATCTTGACACCGCTGGTACCAGTCATCGGCAAGTCCACTCAGTTCCACGTCCTCCTGTACCACATCACTCCATCTCTTCTCTAGCCCGTGCCGCGCCCGCTTTGCCCCCTCAATCCGGCCGAACAAAAGCTGTTTCGGCATGCGGTGGCTGGGCATGCGGGCTACATGACCCAGCCATCGCAGCCTTGCCCGCCGGAGGAGCTCACCGATGGGACCTTGCCCAGATCTTTCAAGGATTTGTGAGCTCCTCACACAATCCAGTCTGGTTAAACCCAGGATGGATCGTAGGCAGGCCAGCCTAAATGTTTCTAACTGGCGAAGATGCTCCATTAGGGGGGTCCACGTTTCGCAAACGTAGAGAAGGGAGGGAATGACTGTGGCCGAGAAGACCTGAAGCTTAGTGGGGAGCGACAGACCAGGTAGCTTCCACACAGCGTTACGCAACCGATGAAAAGATATTGCCGCTCGACTGATTCGGAGAGAGACCTCTGCTGTTAAACTGGAGCCGGTCATAAGCATACTGCCCAGGTATGGGAAACTCTCCACTCGCTCAACAAATGCCCCATCACCAATTGGGAGTTGTGGGGGTGGAGTGTCCGATGGTACAAAATACCCAGGCAGGTGCTTAGTTTTGGTGGGGCTGATGGTATGGCCCCACCTCTTAGTGGCCCGCTCCAGTCTCAGCAGCAGCGTCTCCAACTCCTCCTCTGAATGAGCAGCTATTACCAAATCATCAGCATACATAACGTGGTTGAGCAGTAGGGAGCCATCCCTTGACTGCACCCGGGCATCGATCAGAGCAATTGAAGGCTTCACGAACTACGTGGTCAAAATAGATGTTAAATAATGTGGGAGCCAGAGGACATCCCTGTCGCACCCCAAGGTGTACAGGGAATGGCTTTGACTCCCGGCCACGTAGTTTTACCCGAGCCCGCTCACCATCATGAAGGTCCTTAATGATCGTGAGCAGAGGGTCAGGTACTCCAAAAGCACGAAGAACAACCCAGAGCCCAGGCCTACTGATGGTATCATAGGCCTTGACCAGGTCAATAAAGCAGAAATGTAGGTCTTGTTGGAATTCCCTACACCTCTGCTGTAGCAGACGGACGGAAAATATGGCATCTGTGCAGGACCGCCCTTTCCTGAAACCGCATTGGGGCTCCACAAGCCTCTCCTTAGCGTGCCTGGCAAGGCGATGTTGAATAATCCTTGCCAGGACCTTTCCCGGCACACTGAGGAGTGAGATGCCCCTGTAGTTGTTCCAGTGTGTGCGGTCCCCCTTCTTAAAAAGGGGGACCACAAGGGCATCCTTCCAATCCTGCGGAACCCGTCCAGTGGTCCAGACTGTTGTTATGATGTCATATAGCGCAGTCTGTGCACAAACGCCACCCTCCCTCAGCATTTCGCTTGGGAGATCATCTCTGCCCGCTGCCTTTCCTGGTCTCAGACTCCGGATCGCCTTCAGTACTTCCTCAACAGATGGCACCTCAGCCAGCCACTCACAGGGGGTGACTTCTTCCAATATTTGAGGCACCGCAGCCTCAGCAGGGTCATCCTCACTTTGTGCCACGATGTTTTCCTGGCTGAGGGATTTTCCCTCCCCCAGGACCTCACAGAAATGCTCAGCAAATCTGCAAACCTGTTCCTGGGGGTCGGAGATTGGATCACCGTTTTATCCCCTAATGATGGTAATAGGTGTGGCGCTGCAGGTTACTTTTTTGATGGAGTTAAATAGAGATTTGTGATCACGGGCCACTGAGGCAGACTCCACCTCCTCAGCAACCCGCGACCACCACCCATCCTTGCAGCGCCTCACGGCTCTCCGAACCTCCGAGCGAAGGCTGCGGTAAGCCTCCTCATTCTCTGATGTGGGATTCTGTAGCCGATGACAGTGGGCCTGTTGCTTTTTCTCAACCATCCTGAACACCTCCTCTGTCAGCCAGGGTCTCTGGGGAGGTCTGGACCGTGTACCCAAAGCAGCCATTTCAGCTGCATGAGTCACAGTTCTAAACCTCGCCATTTACCCTCGACATCAGGAGGAGTCGGGGACGATGCCAATCCCAGCCGCAAGCGATGATGAAATTCTCGCTTGCAACTTTCACCAGATAACTGAGACCAGGCCACTTTAGTTTGGAATGGGGTCCTGGGTGTACACCCACCACCGGAGCGGAAGAATGGCAGGCGCATCTTACAGATGACTAGTCGATGGTCAGAGGGCAGATCAGCTCCACGGTAGGTCCTGGTGTCAAGGACATGGGCTCGCATCCGCTGGTCCATCACTATGTAGTCCAGCAGATGTTCTTGCTTGGACCCGGCATGCATCCATGATGTTGTGTGGATGCGCCGATGCCGGAACAGCGTGTTGGTAATTACAAGCCCATGGGCTGCACACAAATCTAGCAGCCTCCTACCGTTGTTATTGAGCTGATCTGGCCCATGCCCTCCAATCACTCCAGACCAGGTGCCAGCATCATGACCAACTCGGGCATTGAAGTCACCCAACATAACTCTATCCCGAGGGGCCACTTTAGCCAGCACCTGTGACAGGAGGTCATAGAAGGCATCTGACTCATCGGCTTTGCCTGCATCCCTCCACGGATGTTCGTCTTCGGTGGGGGCATAAGTAACCACGACCACCATTCCTCGCCTCCGGTTGATGGGAAGGCGAGCCCAAAGTAACCTGGGGCTTACAGCTTCCCAGACCTCACTGCCACGCTCCCACGCCCCCTTCATTCTTTTGTTCAAAAGAAGAGCCACACCCTGTTGTTTGGCAGACACAGACACACAACAACAACCGCCATTCGCCACTAAGTGGCGGTGACGTCACCACGACGCTTGTGCTAGGACATGTGCACCTTGAGGCCACGTGGAGTGTCGAACGCCCGCTGGCAGGAGGTCACGGGGCAGACCCAGGTGCCACAGGTCGAATGACTAAGATGACTGGCTGATGCACCACCTGTGCCCCCTACTGTGCCAACCTGCTGTGCTTTAGCCACCCGGCGCTCCGCTCATTGTTGTGAGCGTCGCTCCTCCGCCCTCCGTTGTTGCTGGAGGGCGACTACCTCCAACTGCCCAGTAGCGTCCTTCACGAGCCTCCTCCACAGAGGCCGGTCTTGACACCACTGGTACCAGTCATCGGCAAGTCCACTCAGCTCCACATCCTCCCGTACCACATCACTCCATCTCTTCTCTAGCCCGTGCCGCGCCCGTTTTGCCCCCTCGATCCGGCCGAACAAAAGCTGTTTCGGCATGCGGTGGCTGGGCATGCGGGCTACATGACCCAGCCATCGCAACCTTGCCCGCCGGAGGAGCTCACCGATGGGATTTTGTCCAGATCTTTCAATGATATGTGAGCTCCTCACACAATACAGCCTGGTTAAACCCAGGATGGATCGTAGGCAGCCAAGCCTAAATGTTTCTAACCGGTGAAGATGTTCCATTAGGGGGGTCCACGTTTCACAAGCGTAGAGAAGGGAGGAAATGACTGTGGCCGAGAAGACCTGAAGCTTCGTGCGGAGTGACAGACCAGGTAGCTTCCACACAGCATTACGCAACCGATGAAAAGATAATGCTGCTCGACTGATTCGGAGTGAGACCTCTGCTGTCAAACCGGAGCCAGTCATCAGCACACTGCCCAGGTATGGGAAACTCTCCACTCTCTCCACAACTGCCATATCACACACAAACACACATACAGAGATACATACACAGATTCACAGAGATGTATACATACACACAGATACAAAGACCAAGATCCCCCCTATAGCCTGAACAGACTGTTGGGGCAAGTGTTGTTAGCGGGCACCTATGAATGCCGGAACGGCACACGAGGGGGTGGGTGGCCAGCACCAAACCCGCCCGCCTTTGTCTCCCCAGTGGCGATGTTTACTACACACCACTGCACGAGGTGATTAATTTGAGGCCGAGTTGACCTAGGGGAGGCCCAGGACCCGGTTCGGATAATCGTCACCGTTCCTAGCGCAGCAAAGCGCGAATCGCTACCCCACCGCTCCCCGCCCTACACACACCCTACTCTGTGAAGAGAGTGAGAGGAGAGAGACAATGGGTGAGGAGTCCTGGACTCACGACACCACATTAACAAGAGTTGGCTAGGAGATGTTATCTCCCTCGCCTGGTGCGCAGGAGGTCGTCGATCACCGGACCCTGAGAGATGTTATCTCCCTCGCTTGGTATGCAGGTCATTGGTTTGATCCTGATCCTGTCGATGGCTGTTATATATTTGAGTTTGCATGTTTTCTCTCTCCATGGTCGTGTGGATTTTTCTCCGGGCGATCCGTTCTATCCTGGCTGCTGCTATAAATGTCCACGTGATGATGATGATGATATCAGCCACTTCATTGAGCTACCATCATGCGATGGAAAGGTCGCTTCTGAGCTGCACAGTTCAGTGGAGCCTTACCTGGTAAAATAAAAATACCTTACTCATTACTATAGGACTGCTTTTTGTGTTTTAATTTGTTGTCCTTTCCCAGCACCTCCGATTAGCACGGTTGGTTACTATGTACGATGCGAAACAAGTTAAACATACATACACCCACCCATACACCGTTCAACATACATACCAACATCCACCCACTCAACTTACCCACCTACTCACTCACCTACTCACTCACCTACTCACTCACCTACTCACCCACCTACTCACCCACCCACACACCTACAATCAGCACGATTGGCTACGTAGTTCAACAGACGCAGAATGAAAACCCTCAAAAGGCCGCGGTGGCTTTTTGAACCACGGTAACGTCGCAAGCGGATAGACGGCACGTGACGGACTGGGCGATACGCCCTTCCTTGAAACGACGGCACTGCCAAGTTACCCCGGACGCGGTCGCGTTCAGCCCGTGCGAAAATTCCCGAATGCCGAGAGGTCGCTTCCAATGTCCGCTTCGTTTCGTCCGCTGTCCGCAGGCCACGTTTCCAGTCCACTTGCAAGGCTGCGGCAGCCGCCAATACAGATCCAAACGCGATGTCTGCTGCAAGCTCTGTCCTGCAGGTAACCAGATGGATGGGGGGACGGGGTTAGTCCCGACGTTTTTTCTCAAACTATTTTATATTCTACCAGCAGTAACTAAGTTTGGGACTTTTTTGTTGGCTGGTTTAACGGCCACACGCAAGATTTATATTAAAATGGCCCTTTTTTTGCCAGTATCAAACTATTTTATGAAAATACTTTGATACTGTATTGTGTATGGTATTTATGAAAAAAATACCATTTTTGGCAATAAAACAGATGTTAAGATCTTCAAACACCAAACTGAAACCTTTTGCAAGAAATCGTGTCTGCATTAACCATACACGGTACTTGTGGTGAATGTGCCAACAAAAACATGGTCTAGTAATATAGGATGTGTTGTCTTTAAAACTGATTGGTCTACACCAGAGACAGCCTTCTTTAGAGCCTAGTCTCACAACCAGTGTTAGACCAGAGAACACTGTTCGCATTTTGGCATGTTCACCAAAAGTACCGTGTGTGGTTAATGCAGACACGATTTCTTGCAAAAGGTTTCAATTTGGTGCTTGAAGATGTTAACACCTCCTGGTTTATTGGCAGAAAGGGTACTAACCTAGTCATATTTTTTGTCAAATATTTGTATAATCAGGCCAACTATCCAACGGGGAAAAAAAAGAAACCTCTTATTACAGACGCTGTCCGCCAACGCTCTGGCGCGCGTTGTAGTTTAGTATCTCAGTACGCGAATTTGGATGAGAACGCGACGATGCTGGGCATGAAAGTGCACCAGTGGGAATACTCCCGTTCGCTTCGTCCTTGCGTAGAAAGAGGTGAATAAAACGGCATTGCGCAAAAACAATCGCCATATTCTCTCGAGCGAAAGAGCATTGCGTGGCATTCTGAGCGCACCGACACTGAGCGTCACATGAAGCTGTTCGCATGGCTGTCAACACATACAGTTCACCCCGTATTATTGTACAGGGGAAATTGAGTTCAGGTCCATATGGCGTACAGCCATTTTAATACGGGCAACATAAAAAGTGTGGCTATTTGTTCGTGTTTATCCCTTGTGATGATGGGACTTTGTAGAATGAACGTTGAGATTTATAAGGGCACGGGGTGACCAATAAGGTCTGAATTGGTCTGTAATAAGGTAGGGCACTGATAAGGGGTTAACAGGTATGTTAAAGTCTCCCATATACTCCAATGTTAAACTCTCCTATTATCTTGATTGACATACTCATCTCTTCAAAGCTGCTGCTTGTCGTTGTTTTTGCTGTGTTTAGTTTGTTGTTCTTCCCCCGTCACTTCCAATTAGCGCGGTTGGCCATGTATAGTGGGTGCCAAAGAAGTTCAACGCTATAGGAATAGGTTTTACCCTTTTAACTGGCACAAAAACTGACACCTTTATTCAAGGCATCATGTTTGCAATGACCACAACACAAGCAGTCAAAATGCAAACAAAAAAGACAACTCTGATAATAATATGCACTGTCCTTGAATTTGATTGGTCCACACCCGAGACAACTTTTCTTAGAGCCTAGTCTCCATTGGTGTTGGACCAGAAGACGCCAAAAGGCGTACAACTCAAAAACAGCGCACTATCAGAGTATTGAGGGCTCGGGGTGAGCATTAACATTATGAGACCTCCTTTGCCAGAAACAAGATATAGGAATAGGTTTTACCCTTTTAACTGGCACAAAAACTGACACCTTTATTCAAGGCATCATGTTTGCAATGACCACAACACAAGCAGTCAAAATGCATACAAAAAAGACAACTCTGATAATAATATGCACTGTCCTTGAATTTGATTGGTCCACACCCGAGACAACTTTTCTTAGAGCCTAGTCTCCATTGGTGTTGGACCAGAAGACGCCAAAAGGCGTACAACTCAAAAACAGCGCACTATCAGAGTATTGAGGGCTCGGGGTGAGCATTAACATTATGAGACCTCCTTTGCCAGAAACAAGATATAGGAATAGGTTTTACCCTTTTAACTGGCACAAAAACTGACACCTTTATTCAAGGCATCATGTTTGCAATGACCACAACACAAGCAGTCAAAATGCAAACAAAAAAGACAACTCTGATAATAATATGCACTGTCCTTGAATTTGATTGGTCCACACCCGAGACAACTTTTCTTAGAGCCTAGTCTCCATTGGTGTTGGACCAGAAGACGCCAAAAGGCGTACAACTCAAAAACAGCGCACTATCAGAGTATTGAGGGCTCGGGGTGAGCATTAACATTATGAGACCTCCTTTGCCAGAAACAAGATATAGGAATAGGTTTTACCCTTTTAACTGGCACAAAAACTGACACCTTTATTCAAGGCATCATGTTTGCAATGACCACAACACAAGCAGTCAAAATGCATACAAAAAAGACAACTCTGATAATAATATGCACTGTCCTTGAATTTGATTGGTCCACACCCGAGACAACTTTTCTTAGAGCCTAGTCTCCATTGGTGTTGGACCAGAAGACGCCAAAAGGCGTACAACTCAAAAACAGCGCACTATCAGAGTATTGAGGGCTCGGGGTGAGCATTAACATTATGAGACCTCCTTTGCCAGAAACAAGATATAGGAATACGTTTTACCCTTTTAACTGGCACAAAAACTGACACCTTTATTCAAGGCATCATGTTTGCAATGACCACAACACAAGCAGTCAAAATGCAAACAAAAAAGACAACTCTGATAATAATATGCACTGTCCTTGAATTTGATTGGTCCACACCCGAGACAACTTTTCTTAGAGCCTAGTCTCCATTGGTGTTGGACCAGAAGACGCCAAAAGGCGTACAACTCAAAAACAGCGCACTATCAGAGTATTGAGGGCTCGGGGTGAGCATTAACATTATGAGACCTCCTTTGCCAGAAACAAGATATAGGAATAGGTTTTACCCTTTTAACTGGCACAAAAACTGACACCTTTATTCAAGGCATCATGTTTGCAATGACCACAACACAAGCAGTCAAAATGCAAACAAAAAAGACAACTCTGATAATAATATGCACTGTCCTTGAATTTGACGTTCTTTTGGTATCCTCTCGTTATTCGTGAAGGATAAGTTCCGGAGATGTTCATGAAAATCAAATTTCGCGGGTAATGTTATTGGCTCTACAAAAGCCTTTTCAATTAATTACCTCAAAATAAATACCTAAATAAGCTATTAAATACATGTGAAAATGATCTCACCACTTTGTCTCTCTCTCATGTGTCTCTCTCTCATCAATGTGTCTCTCTCCCATCAATTTCTCTCTCCGTCTCACGACGCACATGCACACGCTCACCCCAACGGGGACGAGAGTTAAAAACGCAACCGTTACGTAACGTGCATTCCCGTTTTTCTGCTTCCCCCCCCTCCTCCTCCTTCCCGTCTCCCCAGGCAGGTTCCTGGAAGAAGAATGCAACTCGCAAGGAAGCGCGTCCGTCTGCGATGCTTGTTCTGGCGGTTTCTACATGGCGATCGAGAACTACTCCAAAGAATGCTTCAAATGCAAGCCGTGCGAATTAGGTGATTCACCACAACCATTCCTTCCACCGACACTGAGCCTTGTTGCTATTATGTAAGGAGCACCAACGGTGGCCAAGAGATGTTAACTACCTCGCCTGGTATGGAGGAGGTCGTGGGTTCGATCCCGACCCTGCGAGATGTTGTCCCTCGCCTGGTATGCAGGAGGTCGTGAGTTCAACCCCGACCCCTGCTGCTGTATATTTGGAGTTTGCATGTCTTTATCTCTCCCCGTGGTGGTCGCATGTATTTTTCTCCAGGACCTCCGTTTTTTTCTCTCCACGTTTAGAATCAACGTCACACGTGTAAGATGAAGCTCGTAATTACTGGCGAAGCGTCGTACTCAAATAGTAAATGTTGTGGCTCTGCTCTCCAACACACCGTTGTGCTGTACTAGTAACGAATTGGCCACGTTCTGTTTACGTGACAAACCTTACTAATTGGCTCTGTCAGGTGGTGGTGGGTTTAACGACACATTAATATATTTATGCAATCTAACCCAATAAACCTGTATTATGGGTGATATTGGTCGCGAAAGCCGACGTGTTAAACTGCGCATGAGAGTGTCTGGCAGCCGCTTCGCGTTACACGAACTAATAATGTAAAGCACAGTCCGCGATAAACACACGCGAGATGATGCGTACGCGCAGGGCCTGAACAAAGGGCCGAGCGAGGTGCACGTGTAGGGCAGCGTCCAGAAGCAGCATCAACCAATGCCCTCGCACGACGCTGACGACGCCACCACCACCACCGTCAAGGCAGCCGTTGCGACCAACCGCTTGTTCCTACTCACGCGCACGACAGTGGTGGTGGTGGTGACCGGGCGCTCGGTCACGTCACGTAAATCCAATTCGTGCACCCAGCGTTGTAACAAAAAACTGTGTTTAAAAAATGGAACCTTTTTGCCAGTGAAGTAAGAAAAAAAAAACGTTTTTTTCACACTTTGATACTGGAAAAAAGGTCCCATTTTGTAGCTACTCAACCCCAAGCTATAAATGCTCTGATAGTGGCATTGTCCTTGTGCTGTTCGTCTTTTGGTGTTGTTCTCTGGTCTGACACTGGTAGTGAGACTAGGCTCTAAAGAAGGCTGCTCTCTCTGGTGTAGGCCAACCAGTTTCAAAGACAATGCCTGGATGTTATCAGAGCCATGTTTGTTTGCATGTTCACCACAAGTAACGCACATGGTTAACGCAGTAACTTGATTCCTAGCAAGAGGTTTCTGTTTGGTGTTTTAACATCTTAACTCCTGTTTTATTGTCAGAAAGGGTACAAACCTATAACTCTTTGGTTCTTTCGGTAAAGTCACGTAGGTATAAAATAAAATAAATTAAATCACGACGTTTCGGGCACAACACAAGCGTCCGTCATCAGGTGGGACAACCACAGCAAGAAACAATTGCTGATACAAACATAGATACAAACCTATTCTCGTTCTTTTTCCTTCAAAGAACGCATTCCCCCCCCCCCCATACACCCGTCGCGTTAAGCAGCACAGCGAACCCTCGCTTTAACCGACTAATGGAGGGGGAAGGGGCTGTCCGTAGAATCCGATTGTCCATTGATGGCCAAATGACGTAGCACGAAATCACACCGCGCACCCTACCGCGCACAAACGACTTACCGATAGTGATAATAATTATAAAATATTCTTGGTTCTTTCAGTAAAGTCACGTAGAAGGGAAATAATAAAATAATACAAATAAAACTATAAAATTATCATGACGTTTCGATTGCAACACAAGCAATCATCATCAGGTGTGAAAACCAAAGCAAGAACATTTTTTTAAAAAAGTGGAGTTTTTTTTTACGTTAGCACCATGGGCAGCAACTAGCATTGTTCAGAAGGACGAGTCCATCTATGCTCGGAACGGAGGAGGGGGGAGAGAAGGAGAATGGAATGCGGTCTGAAAGTCACCGTAAACGTGAACACAATCAATCAAGACCCGAAATGGTTGATCACATCCTTCCAATGATTGCTAAGCCAGAATCCATCTTCTCGGTTGAAATTGTTTCTGTGTTTGTATATGTGGATAGCGTGATGAACGAATCTCTCATGGTAGCCGGATGGCTTGCAGAGAACCTCCGTCTTGGAGAAGTCAATGTCAACGGAGTGATAATAACAGTGTGGTAATACCTGTATATTACTAATACAGTAATGCATTACAGTACTAATACTGTAATACAGTTCTGTATATTCACACATTCTAACTTTGCATGCACGATTTGAGTGGAGGGTTTACATGCAAATCCTTTTGTATTGTAACGCCATAGAAACCTGTTCTGTTGAAACTGTCCCAAGTGTCAAGCGATGTTAGGCATACTCCGATGCTGTGCTGTCAAATATCTTTTAAAGACCAAAGTGCCGAAAATGTATTGTAACTCAGTTCCCACTGTTATGCCTCCTATTTTGACCGATTTTAAACAAGAAAAAAACCCACGTGTGGTGTAATAAACACTGTGCGGCTATTGAGGGGGAGAAGCGAATATTGAATGGACAGATTCCCCCGTGACCGGACTTGGTCCGCTGCTTGAGGAAACGTCCCTCCTTGTCGTCGTTGTCCGATCATTGGACAAAACAAAACTCCGATTGAGCACATTTTGTCTGTTAAATCCAAGATCCGTTGAATGGTCCCGCTTAACCGAGGGTTTACTTTATCTCACAATTCCTGTCGTGAGGAGAAAAAAAACAATGCGGCGTTATAGAACGGGCTGCAATGACAACGGCGATGACGGTGGTGGAGGCGGCGATGTTGTCAAACCCCCTCCTCCCCTCCTTTTTGCTTCCTTTCCTCACCGCCCACAGACGAGGTGGAAGAAAGTCCGTGCAGCGCATCCTCGGACAGGGTCTGCAGGTGTATGGCGGGATTCTACAAACGGGAGGGTGAACACTTTTGCAGGCCGCAGGCCCCCACCGCGACCGCAGGTACACACATACCCACGCAGGACTTCTTTCCCACCGTACGTAGCCAACTGCGCTAATTGGAGGTATGTGGGTGAGTGGGTGGGTTAGAAATTTGGGTGGGTGAGTGGTTATATGTAGAACTTCGTTCGCACTGTACATAGCCAACCGCGCGGTGGTGTCCACATTAGGTGAGTATCGTTGGTAATGATACAATCTCGAGACAACTATCGGCGGTCTCCTCCCATAGCAACTACGCTGATGCGCCGTTGTTTAGGAGACCCACAGACTCACTTCACAGAGACCCACAGACCCATCACACAGAGACTCATAGACTCATTACATAGAGACCCACAGACTCACCACACCAAAGACCCAAAGACTCATCACACACAGAGACCCATAGACTCAAGTAAAGCTAAACTTTATTTTACAAGGTATAAGGCCCCACTGAGCTACTGCATAGCTATTTTTCAGAAGTGTACCTGCCCATCACAAATGATAGCAGCTCAACCAAGTGGTGGATATCATCACCATCGTATGGAAATGTATAGCAGCAGCAAAATACTGGAAATGCATAGAGGTACATAGAGACCCATAGAGATAGACACCCATATACTAAAATATATATTATCAGGTAAGGCCCACTGAGCTATGCAGCTTTTTTTCAGAAGCGACCTGGCCACCACACGTGATAGCCCAACGAAGTGGCTGATGTTACCATCATGTGCAAATTTATATCAGCAGTCAAATACTGTGAACATGAGGAGGGAAAAACCGGAGTTAGACCCGGAGGAAAAAACCACGCGACCACCACGGGGAGAGACACGCAAACTCTAAATATACAGCAAGTGTCAAGGTCAGTATAGGACCCACAACTCCTTGTATACCAAGCGAGGGAGTTAACATCTCCTCGCCACCACGGCGAGATGGAAAATGGTTTCATACGCTGGTGCAAGCCCCAACAATGCCTGATTCACAAATGACCCCCCCACCTTTTTAAACGGGCGTGTTTTTCTGTGCGTGTGTGCGTGCGTTTTTCACAGATTCCCAAGCATCTGATGGACCCACCCTTCCGATTGCCATTGGCTGTGCTGTTGTCGGGTGTCTTTTAGTCGCAGCAGTGGCTTGTTATGTCCTGATAAGGAAATTCCGGCGACGCGGTAAGCACCTCCTGATTTGTGCAGTTGGCTATGTACGGTGCAAAAGAAGTTCAATATACATACTACACTGCTATACATTACACTATACACTAAACCACTATACACTGCACTGCTACACACTATACTACTATACACACTACCCTAGGCATTAAACGATACACTATGAGTCTGGGCAGACTTGTCGCAAATCCCCTCGGTGCCGGTAGCAGTCGTTAGGCGTTTGTGGATATGAGTTTTGGTCATTACTGTGGAGGTTTGTACTGACTATCAGAAAGGTCATAAAAGTCGGGGCTCACCTGTACGCTAAATTGAAAACGAATTTCTTTAGAACTGCTTTTTGTTGCGTTTAGTGAGTTGTTCTACCCCCGCACCGCCGGCTGGCTACGTACGGTGCCAAAGAAGTCCAACATGCACAACGTAAAAAAAAATGTTCTGACCCCGTGTCCCATGCTGGACATCTTTGAAAAAGAGCTTCATAGCTCATCGGATTTCTCCAGGATGAATAAAGTATTTCCGATTGCGATTCTAGGGATTCTGAAATGTCCTTTGTCTTCCTCTTGTTTATCCACAGCCAATCCGGAGAATTACGGTATTCCGATGGAGGTAACGTCAAATATATCCAAGAGCAGTCGAGACAACATTGTCAACAACCAAGCACAGCTCGAGCCGCTTATTCACACTTCCGTTTGCTCTAATGGGACCGTCTTGGTAAGCAATCCAGCGATTCCCCTCTTGCGCCTGCATGAGAATATACGTTTCTCTCGTTATGTGCAACATTTCCCACGTTATTGATGAGCTTTATTGGCTCTACGGAGAAAACTCTACACCTTTGCAATGAATTACCTAGATTTAATATGTAAATTAGATAATAAATGTGAAGATTATCCCTAACTGCTGTATCGTCCACCATCACTAATAATCTGTCAATTTTATTTCTCTCGATGCCGCAGTCGCGTCATGGGTGTGCAATGCTTTATATTACCATGTTCACCACAAGTATATGTGGTTAATCCAGACATGATTCCTTAAAAATGGTTTCTGTTTGGTGTTTGAACATCTATTTTATTGCCAGAAAAGGTAAAATCTTTCTTTATACTTTGATACTGCAAGAAAGGTACCATGTTGCTCTTAGCATTATTCGAGAGACTGTATGTTGTCCTGTATGAATGTACGTTGAACTTCGTTTTCACCGTATGTGGGCAACTGTGCTAATCGGTGGGTCTCTGCAGGTCTCTATGGTTGTCTAAGTATAGGGGTCTCTCTATGGGTCTATGGGTGTGTCTATCGGTCTGGGTGTACAGTCGGCCCGTCCACATCGCAGGGGTTAGGGGCGCAGGCCCCCCCCCCCCCGCAATCCGTAAAAAACACGTAAAATGTTTTGGTCCCCTTGGTCCCTTTGGTGAGCGAAGTGAGCTCCTCGAGCCGGGGAGTTCGGCGCTGTGAGCCTTTGCGTTTCGTCTGCTGGCTTTCGCGTTCCTTTCACAAACTTTAGTTTTTTACAAAATGTAACTTTAAAAAATTGAGTATTAATGGTATTAAAAGATTAAATACATTAATATTATACAGTACTGTACAAATATTTTATGCATTTATGAGTTACTAAACTTTTTGTGCTGGACTTCGCATGTCATCTGCGGCTTTCGCAAAACTCCAAAAAAATTCCCATTTCATTTCTTATGCCGACCCCACGATATTTCGAAACCGTGATGGGGAAAGTTGCAATGCAGAAGGGTCGACTGTATATGTAAGTTGAATTGTTTTAATTTTGTTGCCTTGTTCTAAGCTTGCATTCAGTGTTGAACGACCGGCAAGAATGTATGCACTTATGCAATTTGTCCTTGCTTATGTTACTTACTATTTGTCAACTTGATTACCATTTCTCTAATTGTGTTTGTCGTTATAACTTGCTGACCCCGTGCCACAGTGGCTAGGGAGATGTAAACTACCTCGCCTGGTATGGAAGAGGTTGTGGGTTCTATCACCTGACCCTGACGATGCCTGCTGCTGTATATGTCAAGTCTGCATCTCCCTCTCTCTCCCCATGGTGGTCGCGTGGATTTTTTGTTTCTTGCCTTCCCCATTCACCGGGGGGACCTCAACAACGTCCCTCATCATCACTTGAAGTCACGCGCAAGGCCCTTTTTGGACCCGCGTGCTGGTGTGGGGACCATTGCTCTCCGTCTCCCCCGTAACACTCGTCCCACTACCCCCCGGTTGCTCTGGGGGGTCCGGGCTACCGACCCCCAATTCCTCGCCCCCTTGCGCCCCCGACTTTGCGGCTGCCCACGTCACCATGTTTCAATTGACGCAGTGGTCTGTTTATACGCTCGCGGTGCGCTTTGCCGTTCAGAGGCGGCGTGCCGCAGTGAGCGGGCTCGCCAGTATAATCTCCGTCCCGCCCCTAAACAGACAGGCACGGCGCGTGTTTCCCTCCCACCCGCGCTCCACGTGTTCCGATGATAATAAACACGCCCCTACCCTCTGCCCAGCCCCGTACACCAATCGCACGCGAGGGGGTTGGAGCCGAGTGATGGGCGGGCGGGACGTTTGCCGTGCGCGTGCCGCTGATTGGGGAAGGCTCGCTCAGCTCTGAGTGGACGGGCCCGCTCAAACAGTCGCGCGAATACGCACGCGCTCGGCGCTTTAACTCGCTACTCCGCGATTACACAATTGTGCGGGTGCGTGACCGCAACACAGCCACACAGGTACGCGATCGCTAAGCACTATTGTGAGCGATATCACGGGTACGCGAGCACTGGGCACCACCGAAAGTCGCCACGTATGCCCGTACGCGCCGCACAGTACTGTACACAAATGCGCGGGTGCGCGATCACGACGCCGTCACACCAGTATGCGAGCGCTACGCGCTACTGTAAACAATCGTGCAGGTACGTAAACACCGCACACTTCGTCTCGAGGTGAACAGCCGCGCATACACGTAGACACCCAGCACACTCTGCCCTCCACTTCACGCTCCCAAAAGACCACACAACACAGTTTTATCCCCCCACTAGCGAATTTTATTTACCTCGAGTAACCAGTTTTATCTACGTGTGATGGTATGGGTCAGTGGACGCTATTCTATCCCTCGGAGGTCTTCGATTCAATTTCTCCTACCGATCGCCCCGCTCTCTACCCTGGATTTAAAACGCTTAAACTTACGCCTCTCTCCCTCGCTGTAAGGGGACGAGGCGGCGAGTTGTCCCTGTAGAGGGGCGAGCCTGGCGGTGCTGGAGTACGTCTCACGGACGTCTCGGACGGCTGACTCTGCTGCTCCTGGAACCGCGATGATCTTGAAGAAGAACTGACTTGCTACCTGAATCCCCCTCCCTTTATCCTACCTACAACAAAGGAATTTCGCCGTTTTGGTCTCTTGGCCTCCCGTCCAATCAGGGGCTCGGATTTTCCCGCCCTTTCGATACCCGGATCCCAGCTCGGGTGACGTCGCCGCAGTGATCTCACCGACGTCCGCTCTGTTCTCCCGCTACCAGTCCACTGACCCGTGCTTGTGCGTGTGTGGTTCCACTCGCGGTGGCTCGATGGCCCTTGCCGTGACCATGCAACTTTAATATTAGGTCGCGGCGCCGCAGTGCATGTCAGATACAGGGGGAAGATCGCCCAATTTCCCGGCCGCAGGAAACCATGAAGTTCGATTCCACTAGGGGCTTCTGGACAAAAACCTATCGGCCGGGTGACCTCCCCTCCCGGCTCTACGTGGGGCGTGTGTGCGTTCATGCGTGTAATATTTAACAGAACTCATAAGGCAATATATAGCATTGTAATTGCATAGTGAATATACAGCAGTGTGGTACATAATTGGGTTAATATAATAAGACAGTGTAATATCACAAGTCAAATCGTTTATAATCTAAAGTATAGGGTAGCGTAAAGTAACGCATTGTATTATTCAAAGGTGGAATTTGTCTATGATATGATGTTATACCATGTAGTTTAGATTTGAAGATATAATATTGTACTGTATAGTAGTCCAGTTTATAGCATAGTCATGAAGCTGCTCAGGACACAACATCGTACCTTGCTATACCTGCTCATTTCCTTTAGTTTTTTCTTCCTCTCTGCCTTTGTTTCCAGCCCCTCCACCCCTCCCCCTCTCCGAAGTTTGATCGGGCTCTTGTTCTGACTCCGCCCACACTGCTTGATAGGCACGTTCTTTGCATTCCTCTCTGCCTGTGTTCCCAGCCCCCCCAACCCCCCCTCCCTCCCCCTCTCTGGAGGTAATGCTTGTAACGTACAGACTCATGTTTTAACTCCGCCCACACAGCTTAATAAACGCTGTCCATACATGACGGCGTCCATTCGAGCTCTGTCTCTTCACCTGAAGAAGGCTACTTGTGTTGTGGCTGAAACGTAGTGAGAATTTTATTGTCTTCCTTTGTTTTATTGTTTTATTCTCATTCTACGTGACTTTACCGAAAGAACCAAGAAGATGAATCCTTGCAGTCACGAAAGCTTTAAATCTCCAGTGGTAGTGTGGCAACCGTTGGCCATCCAGAGCAGGGAGCATAGTACAATATTTGATGATGCAATAACGCCCCGAACCACAAATACGAAGTTAGACATCACCATGGCGATGATGATACTACTCCACTTGCTACTCCTGACGCGATTATCTGCTTGGCTTGACCACTTGCATGTGACATTATTGTAGCCGTCGTGTGCTTTGCATCTACACCGGCCGTACGACCCAAGATCGTCGCTTGTGCGCCACTGTCTCCGATTAGTAAGAACGGTTCTGGCGACGTTTCTCTGCATCGTTTCGATTTACCGCAGCTCTTGTGCGTCGTGTTATCCCTCAGGTACAACCAACTGACTATTCAAGATATAATAAACCCGTCACGGGTAAGTAATTTATTTTTACTTGACAGTTGTTCCCTCGTTATTCGCAACGAGAGATACGTTTTGGAGATGCTCGTGTGAAGAGCAAATTTCGCCGATGATATTGGCTTGACGAATATCGTACGTGCAACGTCTGTCAGATGCCTTCTAAAGCTTTCGAGAAGTTCTCTCTCTCATCTCTTTTTCTGATGACTTTATATAATCACTTTAGCTCTCACCGCTTTATCTCTTGTCATTCTCTCTATATCTCTCTCATCACTTTCTCTCTCGATGCAGCAATCGTGCAGAGTTCCAAAGACGGCCAAAAAAAATTGCGGATAGCCAAGTTCTCAACATTCGTTTCGGTCGTCTCAACCTCTTACCACCGGCCCCAACAAAAAAAAGGCCGCCAGTTTTTGACAATAACGTTTGTGACAAGAGTTTCACCACTCAAACGTATTTCCCCTTTGCAGAGGAAGACCTCGTGGAAATCCACAAGGCTCGAGCAAACAGCTCGGCGGTGGCCTTCGTGAATGTGATGAGGAACGCCGGTCTTTCGGAAATAAACATTGAAAGGATCCAGCACGACCACAAAAACAACGTGGAGGAGCAAAACCACAAGATGTTGTCTGAGTGGTTGCAGGTGATGGGTAGGAACGCCACATTTGCTGCCCTTCTAAAGGCTATGGATGAGTGCCGATTCCACAAGCTGAGCGAGGACTGCCAGGACAAGTTTGACGAAATAATTAAACGGAAAGGTCTTCAAAAATCCGACAAAAATTATGATGACAAAGATGGTCAAACGGGTGAGGTGTATTGCACAGAATAAACTAAACAAGAGAAAACACAAACTTGCATCTCTCTTTAGCTGTGAAGCTGAACCAAAGCACCATTTTGGAGTGGGTGTATTACGTGGTGTTGGAGGGAAAAAAAGCAGAGGACCCGCGAGGAAAAAATCAACGCAGACCACCACAGGGTGAGAAACACGCATTCAAAATATACACCAGCAGGCGTCAGGGGTTCGGGATAGAACCCACGACCTCTTGCATACCAGGCAAGGTAGTAAACATCTCCCAGCCACCGCGTCTTGAGGCCGCAGTTTACACGAGCTACTGACCATTGTGGTGGTAGGGCAACGGGGTTAAACTGTACTGATGAGACCTAATGAAGGTGAAACCGGTATGAGCACCGTTGCACTTCAGAGCAACATGAATATATTGCTCATTGTTTTTTTTCGGTAAAGTCACGTATGTAGAAATACAATAAAATTATATTAAAACAAAACAATCACGACGTTTCGATCACAACACAAGCGATCTTCATCAGGTGTCAAGAACAAATCATGGAGGTAAATACAACAAGAAGATGAGAGACGAGAATTCAACAAACCTAAGAAAAATTATGTGAAACATAACCAGTCAGGCCAACAACACAGTTAGACACTTCCTGGCGGACCACGAATTTCAGAAGTGTTAAATTTCGTGTTCAACTTCTGGATTGCACTTACCAGCATAATTTGGCATGTGGGTAGCTTCCAAACTGTACACAATGCAAAAAGTATAAAAATAGACTTTTGTATTTTGGGGGGAGCAATAATGGATATATTGTGCACGGCAAGTGAGCGGTGACGTCACATCTGTGATGTCACCCGCATGCGGCAGCGTTACACAGTGTGCCTGCTGACATCATGCATCCCCCCCTCCTATGATCACTGTTATATTGTTATAGTTTTATTTTGGCGATTTCAAAAATGTATGGTTCAGCCATGTTTGTTTGTTAAAGTACTGAGTTAGCCTGATAACGTTAATCTAAATTGTCTTTTGGTTGTTATTTTTTTACTTAAATCCGAATGGGGATTTTTGCACACAGCCTTATTATGCGTTGCTTTTTTTCCAACGAAAATGTTGCTGGTTTTGCCTGGATGTTTCTGTTGCGTGTCGTCATTTTAAGATGTTCTGTGTATGTTTGTTTTTATTGTTGCGGTTGCACCAGAGTCAAGAGCCACATGGCTCACAGGGCTATACTGTACCTAATAAAAAAAATTGAAAAAAACTTGAACTGCATTTTTGTTTTGGAACTCACTGAATCTATATATCTAAAAAAATATATTGCATTAGAAATAGGCAATATCACTCTTAATATATATTTTTTTACAACAGTCTGCCCTTTTAAAAATGATCAGTGGTCGATTGGCCACTGGTTATTTTTAAACAAAATAAGTGCCTTTTCCATTATAAACCAACAATTGTCCTCTTTAAATCTCGGGGCTGCTATTTTCCTTACAACGCGCGCGTACTTATCATGAACTTAGCATGGTTACATTTCAAATAAGCAACACAATTACCAAGGTAACATGTTACATAGGTTCTTATCAATTATTGTTAACTTTGACATATTTTTTGTTTTAGTTCCTGTGAAACGCCAGGCAGCGGTTTCCAACACGATTGTGCATTGCCTTCCTTGTTATCTCCCTGCCGCATGTTTACCAAGTTATGAGTGTCGGCCGAGTCTCTGCCACTTTTGGTTGAGTGTCACCTGCTTGGGATTTTTCTTTCCCTACTCTGTGGATTTAATTTGACATGCTAATTTCCACGCAATGTCTTTTAGACTTCCCTGTTTTTTATGGCATTTTCCTGATCATTACCAATATTCCCATGGCCAGGAACTTTAGAGTAACCCATTATCTTTGCCCACAACATCATCACATCATCATCCTGGATCATCGTTTCTATAGCTTTGAACAATTGCTCACAGTTTACTGGTTCGTTTTTAGATTTTCTTATGTCACTTTCCACGTGGGACTATGTGGCGTGAAGTTGTGTTGTACACAACCAGAATCGTCACACACCACGATTTTCTGTACTCAACTATCGGTTTCCATCCCTGGAGCATTATGCTCCGCGGATGGCAACCGACTCAGCGAGTTGATGTGATTCCATGCCCCGTTGGGTACCCCTTTTGTGAGTTTGAGTGTGCTGGGTTTCAACACAATTCCCGATCCGTTATGAATCTTCCATTCCTCCATTTCAGCACGCCGATCTACATCAATCATTAACGTGTCGGCGCACATTTTATTATCCAAAGGCTGATGACTGCTTTCCTGAGGACGTGTCCCTGTACCACGTTTCTCTGCCCCATCCAAGTACAATTGTGCAAATCCGCGAGACAATGGGCTACTTTTTCAATTATCTGGCTATCAGGTTTTACTCCCACTCCCTGCTGTTTGTCATCCCCTGTTGGATCATACCTCAATGCAGTTATGTTTTTATGTTCGATAGGTGTGTCAATTACTGGAGTGATGGTTGCATTCTCCATCACATTTTCTGAATTGATACCCAATGCATTTAAAGTTCCCCAATCATTGCTATCCTTCTGGTTTGCCTTGCCACTAGCAGCCTGCAAATATTCTCCAAAGGGGCTGTCATTTTGCAGTAATTCAGTGGGCAGTGCTTTCCATGGCAGCTCATTCTCAATTAATGTGGGTGATTGACCACATGTTTGTACCACATTTTGGATTTCAGTTAAGCCCATTTTTGTTTCCTTGTTTCCTGTTTCTCTACTCCCTCCTGGTATAGCCGGTGTGGGGTATCAATGGGGAAAGGGCAGGTTGTGTTTGACCTTGAGTGGGTTGTGGAATGGGGTCCTGGTATGATTCCTTGCCTGCTCTGCACACCCTGCGATTCCCATAATTACCTGTCTTTGTGCGCTGTGGTCGCCTCGGATTTGTATGCCACTCTCTAGCTTTATTGTTACCTTGCCAGCTGTTTGTAATTCTGTTGGTAGTTCGTGGGTGCTTGCTCCTGTCTGTATTGTGGGGCTTGGTGTATTATATGCCTCACCTGTGGGGTGCTGTAGCTGCTCACGGGATTTTTACTTCCCTCTAGATGGCTGAATTAATTCTCTCTCCGTGTTTTACCCGGATTATGGCTCCTAATTCTATATAGCCAAGCCATGTGAGCCCTATGCTCTATGTGGGAACGATTCTATCTATTTAAAACATCACTTTGTTTAGTGAGTACAGTTAGAATGCACTTATAGTACAGTACTCATGTAATAATACATTTGTATTCACTATATTTGTATCTGTATTATTGGCGCCATTACCGATTAACCCATCGAAGCCCTTGTATATAAATCGGTCGTATGAGAGAAATAACCCCTGCAGGAACGCATCCCCACCTACACAACGGTTTAGCGAGCCCGTTAGCACCGATTCGGTTAGCGCTCACTTCTGTAATAAAGAATGCATCATAACGGCGCTAACTGAGGTCTGCCTGTAATCCAACATAAAAAAAAAAACTAATCCGCGATATTTACATATTAAATTTGACACTTAAAACGTCAGGTGACCCCGCCATACGACGGCTCGACTTGCGACCTCCTGCTTTTACGACCTTTCTGAAAGTAAGACCCCCACAGTAAGGACCAAAAACTTGTGTCTACGACCGCCTAACGACTGCTAGCGACAGTTGAATCGATTGGCGGTAGCCCGGGTTACCGCAAAATATTGGTGGGCCGGGCATAGTTTAAGGTTGTTTTTTTCTGGGAGCATCGCTGGAACTACCACCCTGTCCTGCCGGAGGGCGACGCTGGGAGCGATGATGACGACGATGTAGATCCCGCCAGCACGACCGTGACCGCCGGCCGTACCAAGAGAGCGCCTGGTGCGCCATTGCCTCCAAGTGGTCTCGCTCCTAAAGACAAGGGGGTGGCCGCCCCCGTAAGAAGCAGAACGTGCTGGGGAATGACCAGACCAGCATCCTGATGTACTTTCAAAACAAGCAATAAACAGCCATTGCCACACACAAATCCCCAGCAGCCCCCCTTTTTATGGGTGTTTTGCGTGTGTTTTTTTATTTCCATATTTGGCGTGCGTATCGGGCTCAGTGACATCTCCCGTCTTCATAGGCCTTCTGGTTTCGGAGTTATGGAGGTTTTGTCACCGCCAATCGGTTCAGTTGGCGATGAACCTGCGCTTATGATGTGCAGACTCGTCGCATGATGGCGCTGCTTTGCTCTTCCGCCGAATGCGTGTGTACAGTATAGTGCAGTATAGCCCATCAGTCTGCAGCTGCACCGAGAGCGAATGCAGCAGCAGACTGATGGGCGACGCTCTTCACTTCTTTGTCAATTTTCTTCAAATTTTTAATTTCTTTCGCCTTTCGCGATAATGTCTGGAGTAGACCCAATTGGTGCTCGACCAATCAGCTTCAAGGACAATGCATATATTATCATAGTATGTTTTTGTTTGCATTTTGACTGCAGGTATTGTGATTAATGTAGACATGAATCCTTGTAAAAAGGTTTCAGTTTTGTTGCCAGAAAAAAGGCGAAAACCCCTATTATTACATTTTGGTACTGGCAAAGGAGGTCTAATGATGTAGATGCTCATCCCGAGTCCTCATTACTTTGATAGTGCATTGTTTTTGAGCTGTATGCATTCTGGCGTCATCTGGTCGAGCACCACTTGGGTCGAGGCTCAAAAGAAAGCCGTCCCTTGGTGTGGACCAATCAGTTTCAAGGATAATGCATATATTATCATAGTATTTTTTTGCTTGCATTTTGACTGCAGGTATTGTGGTTAATGTAGACATGAATCCACGTAAAAAGGTTTCAGTTTTGTTGCCAGAAAAGAGGGGAAATCCCCTATTATAACACGCCAACACTTCATGTGAATTTATAACGATAGCAAGTGGAGACCACCTGGAGACGATTCCAGGCGGTGCGTTGACAACGATGGCGAATGAGTGGGAGGCTCTTCCACTTGTTGAAGCTATTAATGTTACAGTTCTTATCGCGTTGCAGTTGTAATATTTATTATGCCTTATTTTCCCATTAAAAACGATAGTCA